TCGCCGCCGGCGCCGGTAGCGTATACTTTCCGGAACGGTTTCACAAAGGCTCGTTGCTACACGCAGTATGATGGAAGCCCTAGGTTTCTGTGTCGTGGACCACACTGCAATAATTACTGTCACTGAGCCGAATCAGAATCAATTTATTCACAGTAAATAGAAAATTTCAAGAGAAATCGCGAATACAAGTTAAAGTTGATTCCAATATTTGATATATATAATGGCGAAAAACACCAAGGACAAAAAAAAAAAAACCAAAGATGAGGCTGAATATTTGATAAAATTTTAGATATGGATTTCTGAGTTGAGGTTCTAAGTTTTTGAATTGAGCCTGAATTTTTTGTTGGACATGGTGGCTACCTGGACTCTCTTTTTTAACAGTTAGGGTTCCATTAACCGCCGTTTGAGATGGGAACACGATTTTTGTGACGTGTTCTTTGCGTGCCGCGGTTGGTGGCTTAGATTCCGTCCACAAAGTCGGATGCCGTTTCGCTAATCAAACAAATCATATTTTTGTGCAACTCCATAATATTAAGTGGTATGTATGTTTTTGTTAATATATTTTGTTTTTGTAAAATTAATGAAATTATTTTATTGATTTGTATTGTATAAGTTATTTATATGACTTGTGGTGTGTTGATTTTTTCAATTTGCAGGTCAACAAAAAGGGACGGGGACATAGTACCGTGAATAACGGGAATTGGAGAAGAGGACAAACCGTTTGAAGCTTCTTGAGATTGGGTTGCAGGCTAAATGGGTTAAGGAAATTGAATCTTTAAAGAAAGAAACACGGCATGAATTTGAATGAATGGTTGAATGTGGTGGCTAGCAAAGGAGAACGAAATGACTTAGACATAAAATAGAACTATAAATAAAAATATTAATTTAAAAAATCTATCTTAGAAAACTAGAGGTCCAATAATAATAAAGGGTTCAAATAAAAATACAATGAATGGCATAAAAACTCCAATAATGATATTGATGAGGGAAACAGAAAGATAGGCATGGTGGAGCAAGTCGGCAAGTTGGTTTCTTGACGATGACATGATGAGGCATATTTCTGGTAGCCTTTTGGTGGGTTCAACAGCTCAACTTTATCTGATTCCATAGTTGAGGAATAAATAGAAAAATTCACAGAAATTAGAAGGCATAGGCCCCACCATTAGAATGCTGAAGAAGATCTAATTTTAGTGGAAAAATATAGATGAACAACAAAAGATAAAAAGAATACTACAGTTCAAGGCTAATAATCATGAAGGGTGACTAAAAAAGTTGAGCATATAAAAATTTGTTGAGGTAAAACAAAAACCTAAAAACTTGATGGAAGATAAATGCCTTCAAATTTGAACATCAAAAGCATATATACTTACAATTTTGCAACTTAAAGAAAAAATATTTATTTTTATAATAAATAAATATTTTAAATATAAATTATATTTTAGATTTACAATTAATATTTTACCATGTATATGATATGTTTTATTTTATATAACTAAAATTTATAATATATAAAATATATTATTAATTGAAATTTTGCAATAAATAAATATTTTATCATATAAATTATATCTAAAATATATGATAAATAATTAATATTGTTATATAAAATTATTTTTAATTTTTGACAATTCTTTAAATAATAAAATTTAATTTAAAATTAACAACATGAAAAATTGAAAGAGACAAGAGGTCAAGAAAATTCTCTCAGAAAAAAAAAATAGTAAATTCAAAGATAGCTCTTAAAATGTTCTTGTTGAAAAACAATTTTTCTTTTGTTCGTCCCTAGAGTATCCACCATCGGATAATACTCGTAGTTTTCGCTGTAGGGGAGGGGGCAAACCGTGGTCCTTTGTTTGAGGGGAGGATTGTTGGGATGCAAGCAAAGTTTCACATCATTCAAATAAGAGGATGGACATGAGTTTATATACATACACTTGTTCCATTGGTTGAGAGGCCTTTTGGATGATGTCCAAAAGCAAATCCGTGAGGGCTCAGGTCCAAAGTGGATAATATCTCACCAATGTGGAGACGTGTGTATATGTGTATATGTGTGGTAACCTCTACTTTGGAAGCATAGTTTCAGAAATGAAAATAATATTTTGGACTACCATTTGAAATCCGAAGAAGGGACCAAAAAGCTAAAGAAGACTAATCTCCTTGCTATGTTGGAGGCACCTCAAAAAGTGGGATAGTTAGCCCTAAGAAAATTAAATAAATAGATAAAACTATAGTAATTTTAAATGACACATAAAGAAATATCTTTAGATCAATTATATAAATTAAATTTAAAATTAAAATTAAGATTTATATTTAAAAGAAACGAAAATTACTAATTAAATTCAAATTCAAATTAAGTATCTTTTAAAAGAAAATAAAAACCAACTCATTCAATATGACAATTTTATAATATAGTAATACATTATTTAAATAAAATTATTTGGAGTTTCTACAATTTTTTAGTTATTATTAGCTTCAGTTTGAACCCTATTTGTTTGTCACAAAATTATTATTTTTTTCTTTCTAAAACTATTAATTACAGTAAATTTTTATAATAAAATTATTACATTAATAAGATTAAAACTCAATATTTAAAGTTAAGTTGAAGCTAGAGTGTGATTGGAGTTTATTGTACTCATAAAAGATAAATTGTATTTTGATTGAATGAGATCAATTCAAATTCTGAAGATGAGAGTGGACCTAATGGTTGAAGTTAAGATCATGTATACAAAGTTATAGGTTGAAACACTATTGTCATTATTGCAATTTTGATAGATCAAAAGAAAAAATTAGTATCCTACACTGCACAAAACAATAGAAATGAAAATAGACTAGGTCTTTCAACAAAAAAATTATAGTGTAACTTACATTAGGTTTAAGTCAAGTCAACCTTTAGGCCATTTAAAAAGTTTATCAAGTTTAACAAGTTGACTTATTTAAATAAAGATGAATATTTATTATTATTATTATTATTATTATATAATTTATTACAATTATTAAAATCATACATCTATTTATCTTTTTAAATATTAAACATGTTGACTTATATAAAAAATGAAACTTATAAATTTATTGAAAGATAATTTGTGTTCTATCTAGAGATCTTATTATAAACTATATTTGGTTAAATGGGTTCACTGGATGTGCAAAGTAGTTTGGTGAGTGTTGACATGGTGTGATAGTATGGGCATTGCAATTGAAAAGGATCTCTCAATTTTGGAATAAAGTACATATTTGATTTATATCATTAGATAAAACACTTTTTGTGATACTATCATGCATTTTGTAACACTTTATGTTTTAGGTGTTTTACTTAATTATATGATTAAATTGTTGTTTTGTTGCTATTGTTGTTATTTTAAGAACTTTGAAGGTTAAGGTATCCTTGAGTGTTAAGTTGTCTCTGAGATAGTTTGAATCATAATTAAGTTAGTTTAGCTTAAGGAATGGTATATAAGATTTTTCATAAGACGTGAATCTCATAAGTTCAGTTCTCAAGAAAAGCTAGAGAGAAGTTAATGAGATAAGCTTTCGAGTCAAAAAAGATTCTCACTTCCTTTTATTCTTTTGGAATTTTAGAAAATTCTTCCTTAGCTAGGCAGCAACAGTAGGTTGTCAAATTCAGAGCTTGGAGGCCGAGATGTACGAAGTTTCACTTCCCTCTACCTCAATTCTTTTCTTTTGGAGTAGCTAGAAGTAATATGAGTTTTTGATTGATTAATTTGTTGTATTGTATTGCTTGTATGTTGATTGAATGCATAGAATGTTGATTGTTTTGATTGAATTAAAAAGGAATGAAAGGTGTCTTGGTGGAGAATTTGATGATCTATGAAATATAATGGTTGCATGTTGCTTATCACATTGGTTTTGAGGTGTTTATGATGCCTAGATGTTGGATTATGTATTGCATACTGATATTTTATGAGTTTTAGGTGGATTAAGTCAAAATGAGATTCTACCAAGTGCGAAAATTCGCATCACATCGGGCATGCATTCTTGTCATTGAGTGTGGCTTAAATTAGTGTTTATCTACCCTGATCATGTTGGACGCAAGATCGATATCGTTGGGTGTGGACCAATGAGGAGCTCTCTAACTTAGTCACGCCATGTGTGAAATGGTTGACGTCGGGCGTGAGAACTTGAGAAGCTCTCTAACTTGGTGATGTCAAGCCCTAAGATAGAGGTTCTCTGCCTAGACGATGTCGAGTGCCAATGTTGTGACGTTGGGCATGAGTTAGGTAGAGACTCTACCTAAACGAGGCCTGATGTGGGTTTGGCCACACCAGACGTGATTGACTCAAAGGCTTCTGCCTCATCCACATAGGGCATAGGTAGATTGGCATCAAGTGTGGGCGGGTCAGAGGCTCTCTACCTCAATTAACGATGGGCGTAGGAAAGATGACGTCATGCGTGATGTGTTGAAATAAAATCTGATGTTCTAAGTTGTTTAAGCATTGAAGTATGATGATTCCTTTATTTGAATTATGATGTATGATGATGTTTCAAGTTGCTAAAGTAGTAAGATGATAGTTGGATGAATGTTGATTTATGTGTAAAGTTGTATGATGGTTATAGTTGACTAAGTTGTTAAGTTGTTAGGCATGTGGTGATGATACATGTCTTTGTTGATATATGTTGAGTGCCTTTTATTCATAAATTTCACTCAACTTTTGACACTTTTTTTGGATAAATTGTAAATGTTTATGATAATTTACCCTTAAATAGGAAAAATCAAGTTTATACTAAAAGATACAAGAGTAGTAGAAAATTAATAATGATTTTCCTCCTTTTTGCAGAAAAATTTAGGAAGACAAAGTTCCACAACCATAGTTGTGGTTATGGAGCTATAGTTGTGAGAATCTGGGAAACCATCAAGAGAACAGAAAGTTGCAGCCATGGCTGTGGAAATCTGGAATGCAAAATTTAAGGGTCCAGAGATTTGAAGCTAAAGTTGTGGACTAACAGCTAGAGCCATGGAGCACTAAGGATCAAGAGAGAGCACCAGGGAGTCACAACCATAACTGTGAAATTCACAGCTACAGCCTTGGAGGTTCCTTAAGCTTGAAGGAGTTTCCATAACTATGGCTGTGAAACCACAGCTATAGCGGTGAAGCTTACTTCACCTTGAAGAGCTCTCCAAAGTTATAGCTGTGAAACTACAGCTGCAGCGGTGGGCTTAAAAATTGCAATTTCTCCCCTGTTTTGAAGCTAATATAAAAGGGAAACGAAAGAGAGAAGAGAGGATCATCACAAAATAGAGGA